GCAGAGGACACAGCCACATGTCCTGCTTAGCAGGAGAGAGTAGAGGCAGGCTCAGAAGGCCGGGTGACCCAGGCGGGACCCCGCTTGCCGGCAATGGGGTTGGATGCTCTACGCAGTTCTGTGGCTGTCCTGAGACTCCTAATCATTTGTGAACAAAGATCCCTGTGGCTTATTTTCACACTCAGCCTGACAAGTTGTGTAGCCAGTTCAGGGAACAGGTGAGCCAAAGGCAGCATGAGAAACCCCAAACACGGGAAGTGGGGTAGTGGGCGCCAGAGAAGGGTCACAAACAGCTGTCCTTGCTGAACAACAGGGAGCAATGGGTTCCAAGCCAAGGGAGCTGCAGTTGCAACACCCAAGGGAACACGGCCCTTGTGCATTGTGGACCTGCTGCAGGGTAAGATGTGGGGGTGCTGAGATGCCCCAAGATTGAAAAGGAGACTAGGGGGCCAGTACTGTGGCACAGTGGGCAAAGCCACCACCTGCATCACCACCATCCCACATGGGCTCCAGTCCCTGTCCCGACTGTTCCACTTCCCATCCAGCTCCCTGCCAATGACCTGGGAAAGCAGCAAAGGATGGCCTATATGTTTGGATCCCTGCCACCCACACAGGAGACCGAGATGAAGGCCCCTACTCCTGGCTGCAGCCTGGGCTAACCGTGGCCTTGAAGATTTCTCTTACTCACACCTTGATTTTTTTTTTTTTAAGATTTATTTTTGGGCCCGGCGCGATGGCGCAGTGGTTAAGGTCCTCGCCTTGCATGCCCGGGATCCCATGTGGGCGCCGGTTCTGGTCCCGGCGGCTCCACTTCCCTTCCAGCTCCCTGCCTGTGGCCCGGGAAAGCAGTTGAGGACAGCCCAAAGCTTTGGGACCCTGCACCCACGTGGGAGACCCGGAAGAGGCTCCTGGCTTCGGATGGGCCGTTGCGCTCACTTGGGGAGTGAACCATCAGACGGAGGATCTTCTTCTCTGTCTCTCCTCTCTGTATATCTGCCTTTCCAATAAAAATAAAAATAAATCTTTAAAAAAAAAAGACTTTTGGGGCCTGGCGTGGTAACCTAGTGGCCAGAGTCCTCGCCTTGCCTTACACACCAATTCTAATCCCAGCAGCCCCACTTCCATCCAGCTCCCTGATTGTGCCTGGGAAAGCAGTCAAGGACAACACAAAGCCTTGGGACCCTGCACCCGCATGGGAGACCTGGAAGGAGCTCCTTACTTCTTGGCTTGATTGGCTCAGTTCCAGCTGTTGTGCTCTCTTGGGGAGTGAATCAGCAAATGGAAGACCTTCTCTGTCTCTCCTCCTCTCTGTATATCTGACTTTCCAATAAAAATAAATAAATCTTTTTTTAAAATGATAAATTTTTTTATTGGAAAGCAGATCGGAGTTACAGAGAGAAGAAACAGAAAGATCTTCCATCGCCACTCCCCAAATGGCCGTAATACCCAGAGCCGAGATGAACCAAAGACAGGAGCCAGGAGCTTCTTCTGGGTCTCCCACATGGGTGCAGAGACCCAAGGCTTAGGGCCGTCCTCTACTGCTTTCCCAGGCCACAAGCAGGGAGCTGGATGGGAAGTGGAGCAACTGGAATGTGAGCCAGTGGCCGTGTGGGATCCTGGTGTTTGCAAGGCAAGGATTTAGATACTGAGCCATTGCCCTGGGCCCACAGTTTGACTTCCCAATAAATTACTTTTTTCATAAAGGAAAAGTGAATTAGAGCTGCCAAGGTGGGCCAACAGGTTAAGCCTCTGTTTTTAACACCACCAGTGTCCCCTGTCAGAGCGCTGATTCGGGGGCCATCCAGTTGGCTGCTAAGGCACTGAAGATGGCCCAGTCCTTGGCTCCCTGCCTCACAGGGGGGACACCCGGATAGTGCTCCCGACTTCCGGCTTCGGCCTGGCTCTGCTCGGGCTGTTGTACACACTTGAGGTGTGAAACAGAAGACGGAAAATCACTCGTCATTCCACCTTGCAATCAATCATCACAAAAATTACATAACTGCATCTTTTAACTTTTTAAAAGATGTTTCTTTGGGTGCAGAAAGTTTTGAAATCCATGTATAGTTTTCTTGTACAAACTTTTCTTTGAAGAGTCCCCATTATTCTGTGACTGGGGGAAGATCTCTTCATACAACACACACAGGTGCATCCCAGGCTGACCCACCCCAACTCCTCACACCCCTGCTGCTGTGGTACAGCATGTTAAGACACCCTGTGTGGGTGCCCACCTCCCATCCAGCTCCTTGCCAATGCGCCTGGGAAGGCAGGCTTCCTGCTCCAGCCTGGCCCAGCCATGGACAACACAACCATCTGGGAAGTGAACCAGTGGGCGAAATATCTCTCCCTCTCTCTCTTTCTCATATCCTTCTGTCTCTGCAACCCTTTCAACAGATAAATAAATCTTTAAAATAAATTAATTCCAGGTGGTATAAAGACTTGAGTATACTTGAGTATGACAAGCGTAAGCTTAAGCCTTTCAAAAAAAAATGCAATAGCTTCGTAAGTTCAGATCAGAAGAGAGTTCATTTTCTTGCACAGAAAGGATTTTTTCCTAAAAAGATGAAGGCAGTGTTAACACCAGGATTAAAGCAGAAATTTATAAATTGGATCTTAGGGGGCAGCATCATGGCTTAGTGTGGCACCAGCATTCCTTATGGGTACCAGTTATGACTCCAGCTGCTCCACTTCTGCTCTAGCTCCTGCTTACTGCCTGCAAAAGCAGTGGAGGACAGCTTAAGACCTTGGGCCCCTGCACCTACATGGGAAACCTGGAAGAAGTTCCTGGCTCCTGACTTCAGACAGACTCAGTTCCAACTTTTGTGGCCATTTGGGAAATAAACCAGTGAACAGAAGATAACTGTGTTTCTTTCTCTCTGTGACTCTGCCCTTCCAAAAAAAAAAAAGAAAAAAGAAAGAACAAATCTCTCAAAAATTTAAATTGGTGTGTGGTGTGTGTAGTGATTTTGACATTTAATAGATCAAGGAGCCAACATTATGGCTTAGCTAGTCAAGCTGCCATTCACAATGCCAGCATTCCGTATCATTACCAATGCAGCTTCCTGTGAACGCAGCTGGGAAAGCGGCAGAGGACAGCCCAAGCTGCTGCCCCAAGCCACACGGGAATGGAGTTCGAGGCTCCTGACTTTCATCCAGGCATTCCCCGTCATCATGGCCATTAAGGAAATGAACCCATGGATGGAAGAGCTCTCTTGCTTTCACTCTGCATCATTCTTTCTTTTAAGATTTATTTATTTTTCTTGGAAAGATCAGGTTTTACAGAGAGAAGGAGAGACAAAGATCTTCCATCTGCTGGTTCACTCTCCAAATGGCCGCAAAATGGTCAGAGCAGAGCCGATCCGAAGCCAAGAGCCTGCAGCTTCTTCTAGGTCTCCCACGCGGGTGTAGGATCCCAAGGTTTTGGGCCTTCCTCTCTTGCTTTCTCAGGCCACAAACAAGGAGCTGGATGGGAAGTGGAGCAGCCAGGACATGAACTGGCTCCCACAAGAGATGCTGGCGCTGAAAGATGGAGGGACAGCTGGCTGAGCCAATATCCTGGACTGTCTCTCTTTCAAAAGTAATCTGAAAAAAGAAAAAAAAAAAAAAAAACTCACAGAAACAGTTACCCCACTGGGAACCAATTACAGCTCGATCAGGGTCCACTCTGTCCCACCCTTCTGTGCACGTAAGGCTTCCAGGGTGGGCCAGAGAGGCTGTCAGAGGCTGGGAAACCATGACCCTGGGCTGCCCAGGGCTTCTGGCCCTGGTTCCCCCTTCCTGAAGTCAAGTCAAGAGTACTTAGCAAACCTAGAATCCAAACAAACAACCAGGAGCTCTTCTCTCGGGCCTTTCGCCCTGCCCCACTAAGGACCTCTTCCCACCTTGCAAGACTGAGGCAAAGCCACCGCCCCACAAGGTGCCTGGCTCCATCACTGTCACACTGCCCTGTCCCATCCCGGACACCTATCCCAACCGCTCACCAGCTTCAACTCCAAGTGGGCAGCGACCCGGACTGCCCCAGACCTCCACAAGCAGTCTGTGGGGCTGACGCGCCCATTTCGGCTTGGCTGGCAGATTTCTCTCGAAAGTTCGATTCTGATGGTAATCTTTAAAAATCCCAGGATGTTACATAAGCGCCTGGATGTCCAGGTTCTCTGGAAAAGGACCCAGCACAAAGGTCAGGGGGGCCCACCCTAGCCACCACCACCCCGTTGCACCCCATTACGCCACACCCTGCTGCTGTCCACACTGCTTTCTCTGGCTTGCCTGGCCCTTGCAAGCCTCTTGAGTTGACACCCCCTGGTCTCCTGTCCTCAGCCTGCTTACTCCTGCGACTGAGCAGAGGGTTTCAGCAAATCCCGGTGACGTGTTGGGAGGGCGCGCCTCCTCTGGGCCCTGGGAACCCCGTGAATTCCTCAGAACCAGTTACTCTCCCTGCAGGTCAACAGGCTGAGCGCTTGCTTTCCCCGTAGACGGCTCAATCCTATCGGATGATCCGGTTTTCAGAGCAGATTAAGCGATAAGGTTCAGGCCCTGATGGATCAGGTCGTACTTTGATAAAAGCTCCGGAACGCCGCCCTCCACCTTTCCGTGACCCGGAGCGTATGGGAGAGCGGCAACCTGTGTCTGGGCGGCCCGGCGTGTTAATCTCTCCCAAACGCCGCCATGTCCCCGCCCGGCTACCAGGAGGTGACCCCTTCGCGAACAAGTGGGGTTGCAACGGGGTCAAGGTGGAACGCGCCAAAAAGCACACACTGCGCAAGCGCGCTCGAAACTGGCCGTTTTGCCCGGCCGTCCGGAGCCCTTCCACACGCAACGCGCAGGCGCACACGAGCACCACGCCTTCCCTGCCCCGACCGCCCTCCCACCGCGGCTTTACTGCGCAGGCGCCATACCCGTGAGCCCGCCCCGCGGACCAATAGGAAGTGGCGACGCCCGGGCGCTCGGGGGCACGCCGCCGTGGGTGGGCCTGGGACGTGAGGGCAGCGCGCTGGCGTCACAGCGGCGGCTATATAAGGCAGCCCGGGCGCCGCCCCGCCGCCCCAGTCGCTGAGCCGCCGCCGAGAACGCAGCAGCCTCCCCCGCGAGCCCCCTCGCTTCCCGACGCTCCGTCCCCCCCGCCCGCCTTCTCCCGCCGCAGCCTTCCGCAGGCCGTTTCCACCGAGGAAAAGGAATCGTATCGTATGTCCGCTATCCAGAACCTCCACTCTTTCGGTGAGCGCGGGGAAGGTCGGGGTGCGGGCGGCGGGGCCCCGCGGGAGGAGCAGCCCCGGGAGGCGGCGTGGCCCCGGGCAGGGGGGAGGCCGGGCGGGCGGGCGGATGGCCGGGCGCGCCGGGACGGGGTCGGGCCCGGGCCGGTCCCGGCGGCGTCGCGGGTGGCGCCTTCCCTAATGGCTCCGAGGCCTCCGGGCCGCGCCCGCCCCGCCCGCCGCCGACGTCACGTCCCTTGCGTCACGGCGTGGTCGGGGCGGGAGGCGGGGCCGGCCTGTGAGTGACGGGCCGGGGCGCCAATGGGGTCGGGAGCTCGGCCCCGCCCCTGGGTCCAGGGTTCCGGCCGCTTGCATCGGTCGGGAGAGGCAGCCGGGTGTCCGCGCGGGGTGGACGGAACCCGGCTGTCCTGGGCGCTCCTACGCCGGTGGCCGCCGAGCCAGAACGATTCCCGAACGCCCCCGTCTCTTCTCCCCTTTAGACCCCTTTGCTGATGCAAGTAAGGGTGATGACCTGCTCCCCGCTGGCACTGAGGATTATATCCATATAAGAATCCAACAGAGAAACGGCAGGAAGACCCTTACCACTGTCCAGGGGATCGCTGATGACTACGATAAAAAGAAACTGGTGAAGGCGTTTAAGAAGGTGGGTGTAGGCGATGCCGGAGGGAGGGGGGACCCCCAGACCCAGGGCCCTGCAGCTGGTGCTGACCGGCGGGCGTGGCTGCTCTGTGCCTGCAGAAATTTGCCTGCAATGGGACGGTCATTGAGCATCCAGAATATGGAGAAGTGATTCAGCTCCAGGGCGACCAGCGCAAGAACATCTGCCAGTTCCTGGTGGAGGTGAGTTGAGCAGCTCTCAGATCCCGGGTGTGCCATGGACGGGCAGGTCTCACTGTGTCCCCAAGCTACACTGTTTGCCAGGGACACTAGTGTGTGGACCCCCAAGGGGCTGGACAAGCCGGTAAGGGCGGGGAGGGGGGTGTCGGCCTGCCTTTGTTCATTCAGGACTAACGTCCTGTTGGAAGGCTGTTGGAAGGCTGCTTCTCGGATGTGAAGGAGGGTTTGTGGGGTGTTTGCCAGGACACCTCTTTTCTGCTTTGACCCCCCCGTCCAGGGGTTGAGCCTTGCCACCCAGCTGTGGGGTAGAAGCGGGAGGGGCTGGGTCTCGGCTCTCCTTGTCTGGCCCTGACGCGGTGCCCTTTTTCTCTCTCTCTCTCTCTCTGTAGATTGGACTGGCTAAGGACGACCAGCTGAAAGTTCATGGGTTTTAAGTGCTTGTGGCTCACAGAAGCTTGTGTGAGGATTTCCTTGCAATGAGTAGACTTGCCCTTGTGTCCCTTGTCACAAGTTTAAAAAACCTCACAGCTTGTATAATGTAACCATTCGGGGTCCACTTTTAACTTGGACTAGTGTAACTCCTTCATGCAATAAACTGAAAAGAGCCATGCTGTCTAGTCTGGAAGTCCCTCATTTAAACCGAGGTCAAGCTGGATGCGCCCCAAGATCAGAGGCCAGCGGGGTATAGCCTGCAGTCCCTCAGCCAAGGCCCCTGCCCTGGGAGTCTGCACCTGGAGGACCCCTGGGGGAGATGAGAGGATGGGGTGAGGTGGCTGCTGGAGGGGCACTTGGCAATGAGAGGATGAGGCCTGACCCACAGGCCAGAGGTCACCTTCCCGCAGTGGGGTGGCCAGCAAGTCCCCTAGCTAACATCAGTGTGAGGCCCGCCTTCTTCCATCAGTTAAACTTCTGGCAAGAACAAATCCCAAACAGGTGTCATCCGTCAGCCAGCTCTAGGGCTTGCCACCACCCAGCACCAGCTGCCCAAAGCCACAGCAAATAAACTGGTTTTGCAGGTTTTTTTCCTTCATTTTAATGTTATGTAATGTATTTAAATCGCTATTTAAATAAAGTTGTTTTCAGAAACACATGGCTTGCAGGTTATACTTTGTGTAGGTGGGGTAGGGAGTGACTGTGCCCCCAGCTGTGCTCCCGAACTTAAAACCTTTCCCGAGCTTGTACCACCCTGGCCAGCTGTTGGGAAACTTGATCCTGATACCTTAGTGTTACAGGGCTGGACACTGAGCTAGCAGCCACGTGCTGAACTGGCCTGGGAAACTCAGGGCTCACTGGGAGCCACAGCAGGAGCAGTTAGGGAGTTACTGGGTGCTGCAGGTGTTTCCTGTGGCAGGAGGTGGGTGGGGGGGAGGCAGGGCACCCTGGCTGCGTTCTGTTTAAAGCACAAGGTGTTTTACTTGCATTCCAGTCTGAACTCTCAACTCACTGCTAGAGCCTCCTGGGTACCAAACTGGAGAACAGCCCCAGGCAGGTCCCTAACCACAAGATCTGAAATACAGAAACGATTCCAAGGCCCGGAGTGGGTGATGCACGTCAGGAAGGTTGAGACTTAAGACTGAGGAGGTCTGATGAGATGAAGCGGTGAAGGGATCCAGGGCCTGAGGCGAGGCGGGCATGGCTGTTCCCAGAGTAACACATCTACACTGATGCTACTTCACATGTTAGGGCTGAAGCAATGAATGCGTAATAGTCTCCATTGGGTGGGTGAGGCAGTGAGGCTCCCGGATTGGGACCCAGCACACCCTGAGGCCTGCTCTGCACCCAACCTGTGTAATGTTTGAAAGAGCTCTTCCACTGGTTCACTCCCGAAATGGCTGCATGAACCAGGCTGAAGCCTGAAACCTGGAGCTCCATCTGAATCTTCCACGTGGACCTGGGGGCCATTCACTGCTTTCCCGGGGACATTTAGGGAGCTGGATTTAAAAGTGGAGCAGGCAGGACTCAAGCCAGTGCACATAAAGGATGACAGTTCTAGTCAGTTTGAAGGCTCAGTTCTGTGCTGGAAATCACTTGGCGCTACACAGAGTTGCCACCCACCTTGGGGGAACAGGTGACCAGGACACAGAACTGCTGGGTTGACCAGAGAGCCACCTGGTTGGAGTCAAATCTCCACTCACATCCTCAGCCATGGACCAGGCCAAGCAGGGCTGCAACACCGGTTGCCCAGTACAGGGACTGGGTCTGAGGGAAATCCAGGCTGGGCCGGGCCACTGTGCCCACTAGCACACACAAGGCAGAATAGGTACAGATCAGCTAGCAAGAGCCAAGACGGTGCAACTCATGTCAGCAGGACCACTCTACCCCCTGGTAAGCACAGGATTGGGGCTAGGAGCAGGCCTGGTAGGGGAGCTATGAGCCGTCCCCTGCTAGGCTGCAGCTCCTGCTGGTGAGTATGGGAGCCAGAACTTGGGGTGGACCAGAGTGGACAAGGTAGCAGTACCCATCAGCATACATGTGGGCCAGGTATGGGGGCAGGATGGATTGAGAGAAGCCCACAGCACCCGGGTGGGTATGAGAGCCTGGTGAGATGTGGGACAGTCCAGGACAGGCCTAGGTACATGCCAACATGGAAAAACCAGGGTTGAGGGCGGGCTCAGTACAAGTTATTGGGGTCATCTCAACTAGGTCACAGCACCTGCTGGTGTGTGCGAAGATCAGGCCCATGGCGACTGGGCCAGGCCAGGCCACAGCAACCATCAGTTCACATGAGAAATTGGCATGGGGGGCGGAGCTGACTAGGATAAGCTGTGTCCACCAGTGTATACGTTGGCTGGTGCAGGTAGTGGACCAACCTTTGCACTACCTGGCATATTCAAGAATCAAGTCAGGTCACCCTGGGCAAGGTTCCTTGGGAGACTCCCCAGCTAGATGCTGGACTCGAACCCCAGCCACAGGGAAAATGACAAGGTCTGTGGTCCGGCCTTGGAGTGCACATATCCCGTCTGGGCCGCCTCGGTTGCTGATGCCTGTGCAGGCGGACAGCACACAGATGCACATGAGAGCCATGGCAGCCAGCTCCGCTAGGACAGTAGTGCATATCAAGTGCCTCAGAAGATGGAAAGTGGAGCAGGACAGACAGTTCCCCTGGCCAAGCCTTCTAGCATGTTCTTGGGACAGAGGTGGGCACCTGTTCCTGCTGCAGGCAAGGTGAGAACTTTTGACTGTTAGACTACCACACTGAGCCCAAAATAGTTTTTTAAAAAGACTTATTTAGGGTCCGGTGTGATAGCGTAATGGTTAAGGTCCTCACCTTGAACACCCGGGATCCCATATGGGCGCCAGCTCTAATCCTGGCAGTCCTGCTTCCCATCCAGCTCCAGTGCTCCCTGCTTGTAGCCTGGGAAAGCAGTTGAGGACAGCCCAAAGCCTTAGGACCCTGCACCCGCGTGGGAGACCCAGAAGAAGTTCCTGGCTCCTGGCTTTGGATTAGCTCAACACCAGCAGTTGTAGCCACTTGGAGAGTGAATCATCAGACAATCTTCTCTGTCTCTCCTCCTCTCTGTATATCTGACTTTGCAATAAAAATAAAATAAATCTTTTTTAAAGAAAATCTTTTTAAGACGATTCAAGTTGCTCTAAGCTCCATGAATAGGTGAAACACTGAATTTGCAAAGAACTGGAGGCACGACCTCGGAGTCAGTGGTGCCCCCTTGTGGTGCTAGTGAGAAAAGCGGTTGATTGACAACCCTCCCAGCACAAGCTCCTTGCCAGACTTGCACCTGTAGAGAAACATCATTTTGAAATTAGCACATGATGTGAAGCTGAGTCATTTCTCTTGTACGCTCTTAATTTCTGCTAGGCAAAACAACTAGGAAACCCTATCTTGTTGGGAATCATATTAACATTTATATTTTGCCTGGCAAAAAAAAAAACGATGTATTTTTAAAATTTAATTTGTGGGGCCAGTGCCGTGCCATAGCAGGTGCTGGCCTCTCATATGGGTGCCAGTTCCAAGTCCCAGCTGCTCCACTTCTGACCCAACTCCCTGCAAGATGCACCTAAATAACACTCATATGGGATGTAGGCATTACAGGTAGTGGATTAACCCACTTCATCACAGCACTTGCCTCTAAAACTGCAAATGGGGCAGTCATGTGACACAGCCACTGCTTGAGACACTCACATCCCGTATCAGAGTGCTTGAGATGGAGCTCCACCTCCAGGACTCCAGGAGGGAGCAGGTGACGGTCCCTGCCACCCACGTAGGAGACCTGGGTGGAGTTCAGGACTCCTGGCTGTTAGAGGCAAAGGATCAACCAACAGATAGAAGATCTCTCTCTTTCTCTGTGTCTCTTCAATAAAAATGAAAATTTTAAAGTTTTAGAGAACAATTTAGACAAATCTAGATTTGCAAAATGTAAAAACATCTTCCCAAAATGTGAACGTTTTGTGACTTGTGGGCATATGGGACACACTGAGTGTGAGGTGTACGTGGCATTACACCTGGCTGGAACGAGTGAGGACATAGCCCTGCCCGAGGTGCCATGGCTCCCTATTCAGAAACTATACAGGACCAGAAAACCTACATTTTAAAAAATATCTATCATTTATTTTTATCTTAAAGGCAGATTTACAAAGTGAAGGAGAGACCAAAGACAGACCAAAATCTTTCACCTGCTGATTCACTCCCAAACGGCTGCAACCACCCAGGGCTGGAACAGTCCAAAAGCCAGGAGCCAGGAACGTCATCCGAGTCTCCCACGTGGGTGCAGGGACCCACAGCTTGGGCCATCTCCTGCTGCTTTCCCTGGAGCATTAGTAGGAAGTTGGTTCAGAAGTGGAGCAGCCAGGACTCGAACAAGTGCCCGTATGGGAAGTGACACCACAGGTGGAGGCTTAACTTCTTATAAAAACCTGCTTTTTTTTTTTTCTTATAGATTTATTTATTTTTACCGGAAAGTCAGATGCACAGAGAGGAGGAGAGGCAGGAAGGTCTTCCACCCATTATTTCACTCTCCAAATGGCCGCAATGGCCAGATCTGTGCCGATCCAAAACCAGGAGCCCAAAGCCTCTTCCGGGTTTTCCATCGGGTGCAGGGTCCTAAGGCTTTGGGACATCCTCGGCTGCTTTCTCAAGCCACAGGCAGGGAGCTGGATGGGAAGCAGGGCCGCCAGGATTAGAACCGGTGCCCATATGGGATCCTGTGCATGCAAGGTAAAGACTTCAGCCACTAGGCTACCACGTTGGGGCCCAGAACCTGCATTTTTAGCCAGTATCAGCCAATCTCCACTTGGGGAAAGGTGGTTGTGGCTTCCAGGGAAGCCGAATATATGTTCAGCTTTAGAAGTAACAGGGAAGTGGCCTGGGTGAGGAATGGACAGTGGCCAGACCTGGGTTATGCCAGCATCAGAGGACCCAAACCTTGGGACGTGGGGATGTGCTGTGTGTAATGTACCTATATATTTTCTTTGAACAGATCCTGACAGAGAGCCGCAGACCTAAAACCGTCCATCCCTGCCTGCCCTTCCTGCCCTGTAGTTCAGCAAGTCCTTGGCACTAACAGAAGGCTTACTAAAACTATGGCATAGCAAGTTAAGCCTCTTGCAGCACCAGCACCCCTTATTAGAGTGCTGCTTAAAAAAAAGGGGGG